TCCTAACTCCTCTTGTGCTCCTTCTCCGGCTGCTGACGATGATCTCGAACTTCAACAGCTTATGCAAGATATCGACAATCACGTACCAGATAATGAGCCTGCACCGGAACCAACTCCACAAGAGGATCAAGTGCCTCTATATTTTAGTTTGTTTTTGGAGACATTTGATCTACGGTATGCTTCCATCGAATCCCACTTGACTGCTACTCACAAAGCGATAAATCATCGCTTAGACACTTTGGAAGCTCGACAGATGGAGTTTCAAAGGAAGATGCTTGTACGTATGGATGCTCTTACTCTTGAGATGCAAGTACGATTTCCTACTCCTCCTCCCGATCCTTCTATGGACGAGTAGACTTTGTTTTGTTTTGGAACAACTTAGAACTTTAATTGTTAAAACATTTTGAATGCTTTGGGATTGTTTTCTTTAGTTTGACGTTTGTTTGCATTTATGATTTATATGTTTGGATATTTAAGCTTATTATCTATATTTGGTTTTGTTTTAACGTTCTTAATGTTTATTAATTTTTGCATCATTAGACATATATGACCAATTATCCTTTACATGTTTATGAATATTGTTTATGAAAACTAATGGATAATCTCTCTTTTGATTGTGATCTTAGCAGCTTAAACGTTAAAATAATAACTCAATTGGCGTATATTTTTTAAACCTTGTTTAATAACATTTTAGAGTCTTTTTGATTTAACAAAAAGGGGGAGAAAAGTGTTATAGTAAGGGGGAGTAATTTTTCAAAATGGATTTCAAAAATAATTTTCTTAAACAAATCTTAAAATTACACAAATGTTTTCTTATATCAAAAAGGGGGAGATTGTTGAAAACATTTTGATGTTTCGATATAACAAATTAAGTATAAATGAATTTTAAGATTTTACAAAAGATTTTCTGAGAATATTCAATTTAATTACTCGAATATCCAAATATTACTCCAAGTCTTTCAAGATCATTTTTTAATCCTTACTAAATGTGTAAAATTGTGTTTTATACTTAAACTATTTTTGAAACAATTTTCACAAAGTATTTTGAACCAAAAACGAACCTAAACTCAATTTTTCAAAGGGATGCACCGATGCACCAATCCATGCATCGATGAACCAATGAATTAATTGAACATCGAATGCAGTTCATGCATCGATGCACTCTCCATGCATTGATGCACTTGGGTTTTAATGAAAACATCGAATGCATTTGATTCATCGATGCATATACCATGCATCAATGCACTCATGCTTTTTCAAAACATAGAATGCATTTTATGCATCGATTCACTCTTAGTGCACCGATGCACTAAGGGTCCAACGGTCAAAATATTTGAATTTTACACTTGATACACCGATACACCTTGGGTATGCATTGATGCACTGACACTCCCAACTGATTTTATTAATTGTTTTCACACTTAAACGGCTCTATTGACTCCACTAATCATCCTCAACATTCAGAATCAATTGAAGGAGTATTTAAACAAGCTTAGAAGCCATTGATCAACAACAATAAATAACAAGAAACAAGAATCAAGTGAGAATCAAAGAGAAAGCATCAAAATCATTGTTTGAGCACTTCAAGCCTATTTTTCATTCAATATTCAGTTTGCTTTCAAGAACACTACTTGTACTCAATTGTATTCATTCTTGAGTGTTCTTTTCTTTGTTCTAGAATTGTGCAAACAATCTACCTTGTGAGGTTTTTCCTTGTAAGTTTGCAAATTTGTGTATTTCTCTTTGAGAAAGAGTGTTCTCAAGAATTGGGGTATATTCTTGAGGGAGTTGTAAGGTTATCTCTTTGGCCTCAAAAGAAAGAACAAATTAGTGAATTTGTTGGAAAATCCTTAGTGTGGATAGCTAAGGTAGTGGATGTAGACTTTGGTTGAGAAAGTCGAACCACTCTAAATCACTGTGTAACTTCTTTCAATTTTCTGCAAAAGCTTCCACCAACTTTTTAATTGCCAATTCACCCCCCTTTTGGCCGATTCCGTCAATCGATTAACTCAACAATCTAAGAACTCATATTCGACTTGATAAACGTATTGATTTCCATGTTAAATATATGGCCTATTTCCAAAAATTGTAGTAATTGATTTCTAACCTTCGAGAGGGTAAAGATTTAGATTTTTTTTGGAGCGAACACTCAAAGTCTAAATTACTAGAAATAATGCATACGATTTGATCAAACAAAATAACAAAAATACCCTCTGAAATGACTAAAATAACCTCAATTACTAAAATAACTTAAATATCCCCATGACATTGACTAAGGGAATGCATGTGGACAAGTTTTTAAAAGTCGTAGTGAAGCTTTAAATGTTGTAACACCCCCATGGGGACTTTGGTTCGCGGAAAAATCATTACCAAGGGGAATGATCTTTTCCAAAATTGTATTCTCGTGTTTGGTTCGTGGAAAAGATCATTACCATGTAATAACTTATTACCAACATTTTTGAGTTAAAATAGTGGGAATGTCATTACCTCCAAATGCTTAGGTAATAAACATTTCCCACCACTTTGGACACAAATACTCCTGAAATAATTTTTTTTTTCATATGGATCATTCTCAATTTTTATTCTTCATGCTTTACTCAAAATTATAAACTTAGTAATATATAAAGAGTTTAATTTAGTAAAATATTAATAAATTTGAGTAGTTAAAATTATTTTTTATTTTCAATATTTAATATATTAATCATTTTATAAATTTTATGAGGTGAAAATATTATTATTGTAAAAATTTAATTAATTAACATAATATTTAATTTTGAGATATTAAAAAATAGATCTTATACATTAAAAATATATATTTATCCACCCGTGATAAAATTATTATTTTTCATATTATACTATATTTTATATAAATAAATATCATACTTATGAAAATTATTTAAAAATATAAGTTTGATATAGTAATTATATTAATTATATGTTAAATGTATTTTTACCTTTAAACTTAGATAGTGCAACAATTAAAATATTTTTTTATAAATTTTCATTCAAATATTTATAATTTAATATTAAATATTTACTTGTTAAAAAATATATATCACAATGATAATTTGATAAAATATGCATTCAAGTGATCTCATATTCCTCCAACCAAACATTGTAATCTTACATACATGGTAAACAATCCAAGCACGATAATACAACATTCTCAGAGTAATATTACATTCCAGTAATCTTATTCTCAAAGATAATCTTACATTTCGTGAACCAAACACACCCTAAGGGTTTTGAAGTACAACCTAGGTATATTGGCCATCCTTATTACTATTACAATATTGTAAAGAAATATCGTTTGAATACATGTTTATCTCTTCAAGTCATATCCAATAATGGTTTGTGGAGGGGATAATTTCAAATATATAATTATGTTTTCTAATTCATCCAAGGACATGTGGCATCATGGGGAGAAAATTTAAAAGAGGATAAAAAGAAACCCTAGTAGATTTTTTGGCTAAGGCGGGAAAAAGGGGGAAACAAATTTCTTTTATTATTTTATTTATTTTTAACTTTTCAAACTAACCAATCACATTCTAGGTAATTATTACATTCTTTTTCTCTTTCCTACTTTTGCATTAACTCGCCCAAAACCACCAACTTTTTCTTTAAAACTGCCCATTTCTCTTCTCTTTCTTCTTCACTTTGTTTTATTTTTAAGTTTTCTCTCAAACTTCTTCTTCTCTACCTGATTTCTGCCATAGTCACCACCTGTGTTTTCTTTTATTTTTTCTTTCCACCGTGAAACCCCTACTTCTACCACAACATAGTTTTCTTTTTATGTTTTCATCTATCACGGCTGAGATGGCACAATGCAAGAATGTTTTCAGTGGGAGTTCTTCCTCTCAACCATTGTCATAAACCCTCATTCAAAAATTTAAAAATGATGCAACAGAGGAAATATTTCAACATATAAAAGGTCGATCGGTGTATTTGGTGCAGGGTTTTATTCTGCTAGTAGAAGGTGAAGAGCCTTTTCCCTGAGGTAACGTGTGTCATAACAAAACAACACTGGGAGGTTTTCATTCAATATTCGGGTGATGTCGCCCCATCTATCGTGAGGGAATTCCATGTTCTTATTAAGCTTACAAAACATGGAATCTGGGTGTGAGGAAGGAGAGTTAGATTCACGCTGAAAGCCATAAATTGTTTCTTCAAGCTGGAGAATGTGACCATCCATCATGCAAAATTTATTCCTACGACGAATCCTGAAACTTACGTGGGAATCTTGGAAGATTTGTGCTTCCAAGGGACAACATGGCAATGCGGAAACCCAAGCAAGGGGAGAATAGAGAGGCATTGTCAGCCAAGGTATGTATTCACTTTATTAAAACTCGACTAATGACTATATCGCACCATACAACTATCTCGCTGCAGCGGATGCTTCTGTTGTATTCCATTATTTTTGGGCGCCCAATAATATCGATGAAGTCATCGTTCAACAAATTTATAAAAGCCTCAAATGAAAAAAGGGGATGTTGATCTTCCCGAATTTGATCACTACCATGTGAAAAAAGAAGAAAGTGGTCGATGAGATGTTCGAAGAGATGTTTGAAGAGAACTTCCCAACGAAGACTGGTATTACAATGAAGTTGATTCCCGAGCTGATGGGTTTTGATGAGGATGTCCCTAAGGAAACCCTCAAAAGAGGTGCTAAAATGGTTACCTCGGTAAGAATGACGGCCATATTGACCTTCTCACGAGAAACTAAAGAGCGAGTGGAGAAGCTGGAGAACAAGATGCACACTTTCTTCAGCTATGTGAGGCAAAGGGATGTGGTTATGTCCTCTTTTTTCAAGGAGATACTACACTTGAGCACCGACAGTTTCCTTCATTTCCCTAAAGACATTTTGGAGGAGAAAAATAATGTTGCAACATTTCCTATACATGCCCCGCAAGACGCAAACTGCCAGACCAAATAACTGACTGCCCCACCTACTGAAGCGAAGCAATCTAATGAGGAGAATCACTCCAATGCTACCGAGCCCATGGAGCCCTATGATATTGATATGCTTGACACCTGCCCCTCGTCCGATCCTAAAGATGAAGTGATTGTTTCACCAAGGCAACAAAGTCCCACCTAGCATGATGATGTTGAGAAGACCAATGAAGTAGTGTTCAACTCTGCTGCTGACACTGAAGAGATCCTACCCTCACCTATGCAGCCACAACCTACAGAACCACACCTGACTAGACATCACTTGACACAATCAGTCAGACATGCAGTAGAAACTTCTTCTGTAGTATCTAAGGTTACAACCAAGACCACCCAACATAACAAGCCAGAAGATTCCACCCCAAAGAAGAGACGCACCAGGTGTACCGGGGACAAGACACCACCATAGTGAGGTACCTCTCGTAGCTTTTGCATTAATGTAGTGTAGCTTAGTTAATTTAGTCTTCATGCATTGAGGACAATGCAACCTTCAAGCTTGGAGGAGGTATTGTCCATAGTTAAGCATTGCATTTATAATATTAGTAGAATTATGTTATGCCATTTAGTTGGGTTGAATCAGTTTTTGTTAAAATAAGTTAAGGATGCCCAATGATGAGAAATTTTTGTCATGGCTATGAATGGAATTTACATGACTGTTAGGATTGATAGGACCAACTTTAGAGCTTGAGACTTTGTGAACCTTGATACACGATTGTATGCTTTCCATGCTTAAGGAACATAGAAATTTTTTGAAAGAACCTTTGCATGTTGCAACATTAATTTATGAATAATGTGTTTAATTGATAAACGCTTGATTAAACTCAATTGTGCTTAAATGTTTTTAAATTGCGAATAAATGCTTTGGTGTAACTATAGAGGGGAACTCCTCTTTGCTATAATAGTGCCAGGATACTACGTTTCAATAAATGGCAGCAATAGCATACGAGTGAATGAAAGTAGTCACGGGATGACTCTACCTGACTAGCTTGGGGATGGAAGGTATGCTCTCATTTATCTATAGTGTGGGATGGTAGTTTTGATAAGCTGACTCTCCTCGTAGTAGTGTAAAAAAGTGAAGTTAAATTTATGTTAAGTTAATTTTAATGGGAGTAAATGTGTGCTTAATTGGTAAAGAAATACTAAAGCACAATAGGGAACTTGATTAGAATTTTCTAACTTCGTTAAGCATGGACTGGATACAATCCCGCACACACAATGCAAAGGGTCTTGCTTTAGGGAAAAGTTCTTGATATTCTGACTTGTCTAGCATGTTGAAGCCATTTATTTCTAAGGGTTGAAATTTTATCTCAACATCGTTGCCTTAACTAAACTTTTGTCATTACATTATTTTCTGCTAATTATTATCCATTACTTGACGACAAGCAATAGTTTAAGTTTAGAGATGTGATAACCCTATAAAAAGGTTGTATTTTTGTGCCTTTTTACTTGGATTATTGTTTGTGTTAAAGCCCATGTCATAGCATTTAGATTGCATTTAGGTCATATAGTTTCATTTGGTGGTAAAGTCTTGTTGCAGCATAAATTTATTGAAAACTAGTGTTGTCGAGGGAAAAGTCTTATTTTTGTGGTATTGTGCAGACAATGAAATCTTAAAGAGAAGATATGGAAGTTGTCATGCTGTAGAATTCTGTAGATGGAACGTTGAAATACTTACTGCATCGAAAGATGGCTAGCAGACCTAGAGTATAAAAGAAAAAATAGTAATAAAAACTTTGCTTAGCTGTCCAGCCACGCGTGATTCACCACCCCAACTGCAAATTTTGGGACCACCTGCCACAATAACCGGCCCCTTTATGTGTGAATGATGCCACCTAGGGTACAAAGGGAATTTTGGGCCCAAAACCCTAGAAATATTCCCTCTATAAATACCTAAGGTGCCCTACATTTTAGAGAGACTTTTGGAAAGCTTTGGGAAGTGACCTAAAGAAATGTGGTTGTTCATTTTCATCTTCTTCTTCCTTTTTCATCCTTTTTTCATGGTGTCCTTCATAGCCGAGCTTCAAGGGAGGTAGCAGTTAGACCTCAAGAGGGGCTAGCTTGCTAAAGCAATGCATGGTGGTGGAGCTAAGTCACGACAACAGCTCTTTTGGGAGTCTTCTTCTCCTTGTGCTTTATTTTTATATCTTATTTGGGCTTGTACTAAATTTGCATATTCTTGGATGAACTTAGCCACACCATGAAGTTACTTATTTGGTGTTGGATGATTTTATTTTGTGTTAATAGATGAATGGATGTTTTTATGTTTTAAATGTTGTTTTGCTCATTGTTTTTACTTTTATGATATATAGCAATGTAAGAGTTTTTAGAGATTGTCATTTACTGTAGCGTAATATGCTTAGTATTGTAAGAGCTTTTGAGAGATTTCCATTTTCTAAGTATGGATACCTATAATCGATAGAGTTAGGTTAGATCTACGTGAGTAAGGGAACCAAACCGGGATGGGTAGGTTCTAACTCGTCTTAGAGATAAGGAGAGGGTTTCATATGACTAAAGGAATAGACTTACTCGATAGGCTAATGTTACAATTCACGCTGAGAGGTATTATAGTAACATTAGTTTTATCGGGTTCCTTGCTTGAGAGAGTTTAGGAGCATTTTCAGCAAATCTTGTCAAGCAATAAACTCATAAGAGCAGAGATCATCCATAGCACAAAATATTTTTTCCATAGCAAATCCATTTCATTTACCTCTATAGAAGCTTGATTGTGTGAGGTTATCAAGTCTAATCTCATTTCCCAAAGTTCAATTTATTTTACTGCTTTAGCAGACTTTTGCACTTTGCTTAAACTCTTGCCTCAGCACACTTTTACAATTTCATCAACTTTCACCACAAACAAAATTATTCCACTTCATCTGTTCTTGCCACAGCATTCCATCACCATTTATATATACCATCTGCCACAACTATACTTTCATCTGTTTATACCATTGTAAATATACTTAGATTTAGTTAGTTTTAACTTTAGTTCATGACAACTTTTATTTGTTATAGCTTGCTTTTAAAATACTTCTAATCTTGTGGAGACGATACTTGCTTATCACTATATTTCTTCCGTCAATTGTGTATACTTGTACATATTTACGTGCCACAACACTATATATTTACACGCTATCATTGTTCCTATGCACATGGATATTTTCTCTGATATTAAACGTACGACTCTGTTATCTGAAATAAAAACATGATCTCTAATTTATGTTTCTAATACAAAATATACACCTGGCTCATGAATATGATATTATTGTTTCACTGTTTAATTTGATTTATATTGAGGTACTAACTTGGATATTTTATGGAGTCTTTGCAGGTTCAACTTTAATCAAGTTGGTAATTCTTTATGGACTTGATGTGACTCATTGGTAGGCTCTTAGGCTCGATAGGCCTAAGGTTAGACCTTATGGATCCTAAGATATTCCCTTAGGATTGCTCATCTTCTTTACGCAAAGGGTAAGTCCTTATGGACCTGAGGCACCCCCTCAAGTGGACTCCTACGCTTTAACTAGGGTAAGTTCTTACAACTCAAGGTGCTCCCTTAGGTTCTCTCTTTCGCCCAGTGAGGCTAGGATAAGTCCTTATGGATGCAGTTTTGAGGAAATGTATATCAATGTTCGATTGGAGGTTATTAATGTGATTTTTAAAATCTTTTTAAAAAAATAAATTACTACTGTTTTAAACTATTTGTACACTTTTCTTGATTTTGTTGGAACACACTAGACTCCACAACTCAACCTCTTGAATCATTCTCTCTTTATGTTTCGTCTAGATTGTAAACTTTCCGATTGTTACCTAAAGACTCGCTTAGTGAAATTTCAACTCATTACTAAAACATATATATGCCTCGATCACAAATAAAATTTTATGTGTTACCATATATATGTTTTTCCTTTAGCATCATTTGATAGTTTATATTATTGAGCTTTCCTAGAGCTCACTCTATTATTTACCATTTCAGGGTAAAAGAATCGATCCTATGTAGTTATCGACATCGGTAATGGGAGTTCCTTTAGTGTCACTTGTAGAGTTTGATACAGATGTAATTAAGGGTCATGTATGTCACATTTTGTATGTATATTAGTGTTTGTAACTTGTTTTGATATTTATGTATTATTGAATTCTGTTTAACATCCGAACGATTTCTGAATTTTTATATTTATGTTGAAATTGTTTTAAGATTTTAATTTTTTTTTTTTTTGATAAATTTTATTTTTCTTGTATTCTTAGTGTGGATGGCTCTGGTGGCCCTAATGTGACACCTCAGATCTGATCGAGTCATATGTATCGGTTTGGGGTGTTACAGTACACTCCTAAAGAGAAATGTATGGGAAGTAATTCTTTCCAAGAGTGCTTTGTATCCTATCGACTTTCGAAGAGCATTACGAAAATCTATTTGGCCAATTTATCATCAATAGCTTTGTGGAGGGTAAGTTTAAGGGACATCAGCCTAATTTAAGGTTAAGGAATGACAGAGAATGGACACACCGAAAATGTTATAAAAAGCGAACTAAATGTTATAAATATTAGCATAACATTTTATGTTACGATCAACCGAAAATATTATACTTTTTATCATATTTTCAATTGTGTTTATTCTCCATCGTTCCTTAATCTTAAATTAGACTGTCTTATAGTAACTTACCTCTTTGTAGAAGGTTGTTGAAAATTGAATTTCTGGTAGCACACCGTTCCTAACAATCGTTAAACCCTCCTGTCGGGTATCCACGTTCAGTTCTTGAACGAGAGATTTATTGCTCCCCTCATCATTCCTCCTATCAACATATCCCTAAAGAAAGGTTTCATTATAATAGACTCATTATGATCATGTCAATAAACCATGGTCCGCGATAAACATCATTGTTTTTATGTTTTATCGACATGTTAAGAAACGCAAAATCATTATTCTGAAATGTTTACATGATGGAAGATTATAGCGAAAAAATAGTATCATATAATATATTTTTATAAAATATTTTAATTAATTTGTTTTATAATATAAATGTCATTAATTTTAATCACAGTTCAAATTTAATATTATTTTTTATGAATCATATATAAATATAATCTTAATGTAATGGTTAAATGTTGAAATTCTATTAAAAAGATCTCGAAAAAAATCCCATATCCAAATTCTTTTAAGTGAATATTTAACTTAATTTTGCATCACCAATAGATGGTGGAATGTATCATTTTTTTATTAGAGGTTACCAATTTATTAAAAAGTAAATGTAGGCTAGTCACATGAAAAAAAAAACTTATGAAAATAAATAAAAATTTAAGTTAATATTATGTTAATTTTTAATGATTGATAATCACAATAAAAATATAATATTAATTATTGTTATAAAAATAATAATTAGAATAAAATGATAATAATAATTTAATAATCGATAGAATAATTTATTCGAAAAGAAATGGAAGGAATATAAGGGTGTTGGGTATATGGAGAGAAGAGCAAGGTTTTGACCAGTTCTGTGTCTTTTTTTCCCCTTCTCTTTTTGTGTTTGCCAGAGTCGTGGAACCTTCGTTTCGGGTTCTAATTTTTGCATGTGATTTTTGACTCTTGGCTTGCTCCACGTTTTGTACGGTTTAAGACTGAGATTAAGAAGCGTATGAAAATGCTTTAAATCTCTTTAAATCTTTTTTGGTTCCTTCTCTTTTTTTATTAACTTGTTTGTATAATTTTAATTTTAATTATTAATGTTTATTAAGTCGTATGATAGAAAAAAAACACTCTTTAAATAAAATTTATAATTTGTAGATAAATGTATTTCTCGAGATTCAACAATAAAATCGTATTTATTTATGATCTAAGATAATTAATGAATAATAAAATATTATAAACCTGAAAATAAAAGGCATTTAAAGACTCAAATGAAATATCTCAATCAATTAAATAATTTTTTTTTATATTTTTAATTTTCTAGAAGACTTTGATTCATCAAAAGTATATTTATTTTTCAAATATAAATTCTACTTATTTTATCTCATAAAAAAAGGTTTTCTTCATATGTTCAGACTTGAGATAAGAACCCATATTCTTGGAAGCTGCATGTTATCCTAAAAATGTTTCAACTTGTGGGTATGTACTCTTAATAAAGTAACTATTTTTTTAAATTAGATTTTCTAATACTTACGCTATTAGTAAATTGGTTATTTCGTCAGCGTCACATACTTATATGTATATTTACATATTTAATTATTTTATGTATTATAAATACAGATTGATAAAATTAGTTATTTAGTCTCATGCCTATATATTTACATATTTAATTATTTTATAATACAATTTCATTTCAATTTTTAATTTAATATCAACACAAGTTATTTATTTTAATATTTAAGTAAGATTAAGATACGAATTTTGATTTTGTAAATGAAATAAACTGAATTGAGAGTATTATAATAGATTTATACAGTATTCGATCCAGATTAATCAATTAATAGATTAAATATTGATGATCAGTCTAATGATATACTAAAATGGTATTTTTATGTCAATTTAATGAGATAATGGTTCATAAAAGATATTTTAGCTGATTCAAAAGTTTGTTAAATTCATGTTTTATATATTATTGATAAACATTTTAGGTAAAAAACAAATAATTAAATTTATTATAGTGAAGTAATGAAATATACATATGATATATAAATTTGTTAATTTTAATATAAAATATTTATTATCATTAAAAATTATTTTTGAATATTGCCTAAAGAAATGAGTACATCTAACATCCACTCATGGATTTAATATGAGTAAAGATAAAAATGTTAAGACAAAAATTAATTAAAATATATAAATGTGATAAAATATAAGTGTTAAAAGTCATACAAAAAATTGAAAAATATAAATTAAACGTACGGAAGTTTAAATTGGATTATGAAAGTAAATAGAATAGATTTAAGTTTTTTTTCACCGAGTAGGGAGACAAAGAATTATACATCGGATGTTGATATAAAGAAAAGGAGGTCCAGAAGCAGCGCCTTCAAGTAAACAGTGAATACTAGAACAAAAAATGGAAGAAATTTTCACACGTGCGAGAACGCAATTTAATATTGGAAGCGTGTAGGTTTGGTAGAACCTGTATATAACCTTGCAAGTGGATTGGTCCGTTCATTCCACTGCCTAATCGAGAGGGAAATAGTGTTTACACTCCCAGCTTTAAGGTTAGCTCTTCATTTTCTTCAAATTCCTGGCCTTTGAAGATTTCTGGAGCTCCAGTGTTATCTTGTATGTTTCCATGTTCATTTTTTAAGAAAATCTTTCTGGGTATTTGTTGGATTATCTGAGCTTTGTTGATTTGTTGATAATCCCAGGAAATCAGGGGAAAGAGAGAAAAGAACAGCTTTTCTAATGGAAATCCTTTCATGCAAATGGATATCTGAACTGGTAAAACACTTTTCTTCCTGCTCCTGTTGAAGAAAAAAAAACATTTTTTTTATGAAAGTTTTTTGATTTGCAGGAAATTGAAGCTTACCGTCAAGTGGACGACGAGTTCACAAGGCCAATGAAACAACTCAAAACCGATAACTGGAGTTTCATCCCACCAAAGGCTTCTTCTTCATCTTCCCATATAATCTCCTTCAACAACTCCAATTCGCCTCCGGCTGTGTCTCAACAACAACACGGCCTTGACTGCGACGTCAAACCAAACAATAATGAGGTGGGTTTTTGAGTTGCAAATATTTGTATGTTTTCCATCTTTGATTTCAAAGAGGACCAATATTGTTTATCTAAATTCGAACAGGTTTCAAAGAGGGTGATGCGTTCATTGACTAGGACTCCACTAAATGCTCAAGATCATGTGATTGCTGAAAGGAAACGCCGTGAAAAGCTCAGCCAGAGGTTCGTTTCACTTTCGGCACTCATTCCTGGCCTCAAAAAGGTACAAAGTCAGCACAGATATATAGTTTAGGTCGAAATTAGACATTGGCTTATGGCTGTCTAATGTGTTTTGCAGACGGATAAGGCATCGGTTCTTGGAGATGCTATCAAGTACCTGAAACAGCTTAAAGAGAAAGTGACAATACTGGAGGAGCAAGCTGCTAAGAAAACGGTGGAATCAGTGATCTTCGTGAAGAAAACCCAGATTTGTGTAGACGATGAGACATCTTCCTCCGATGAGAATTTTAAGAGCCAATTTAACAAGCCATTCCCTGAGATCGAAGCAAGAGTTTCAGACAAAGATGTGCTGATTAGAATCCACTGCGAGAACAGAAAAGGGTTCATCTCCAACATCATAAACCAAGTCGAAAAGCTTCATCTCTCTGAGCTCAATACCAAAGTCTTGCCCTTCGGACAAGCCACTCTTGACATAACCATTGTTGCTCAGGTATTGCTTTTGCTTTGCCTTTTCCAAAGTAGCTTTCAATATGCAATTTCCAAGAAAAACCCTCGACTAAAACCTTGAATATTCCATGGTTATCAGATGGAAGCTGAGTTTTCAATGACAGTGAAGGATCTCGTGAAAACCCTACGATTGGCTTTGCTAAAGTTCATGTGATCAGCAACTGCAAAAACCATGCTCACATTGAGAAAACAAGATTTCCACCAGATCCCTTTTTACCACTCTCTCTCTCTCTCTTTTTTTTTTTTTTGGATCAGTGATGATTTTCTATAGTTAATCTTTTGTTGGGTTTTTTTTCCTCAAACCTTAAAGAGAGAAACAGTAGCCTGCGACCTGCCATTATCAACATAGCTTGGAGGATCCAGATTTGGGAGAAAGTAGGGTTTCCATGTGTTTAGTTATTATTTTTTCGTGGTGATAACTTGTTGACCACGTTTAATTTTTCCCTGCTTGGCTGTATTAGGATTCTCCATATCTATGAAAGCTTCAAGAGATTTTTAGGGGTTTTGACCTAAAATTATGTAACTGACCCCTCTTCCCCCTTGTTTTTTTTTACCCATTAAAAGTTGGAGATTTACAGGCAGATTTTCTTTCTTAGGTTTGATTAAATTTTCTAGGAACCTTTAATCTTTTGATTGTTATGTAATATTTCACCTTTTGCTTGATGGGTTGAATAACAAACTTCATTGTCAATATATATTCTTTCAGAAAAATAATGTCATTACTTTTTTAACTATATATGAACTGAATTGAACATATGAACAGGAGGAAATATATATTATGGATGAATTGGTGAGATACGATGATTGTAACAGTTGAATTAAGGGAATAGGTGCATATGGGACCATATTTTATCAACTGCAGGGGTTATCTAGAAGTTTTTTTTTTTTTTTTGTCATCTCAAGGTTTCGTCTTGATTGATTCGAACCGACTTGGGACGCACATATGGGTTTGGTGGATGAGCTTCAGGATTTTTTCCATACACAATGATTCGAACTCAAAACCTGTTTAAACGACATCAAGCTGCTTACCACTTGAACGAGTACCAACGGTAGAAGTTATATTTTATGTATGTATTAGGTTTTCTTTTTTTCTATTTCTGTGTTAATTGTTAAAATATAATAATAACTATATATTAGATATGTAGTTATTTTCATTTCAAAATAAAAATGAGAGTGAAGTATCCAATTAGTCTCCACAAAAGATTGTAATCTGTCCATCGTTTCTTCATTTTGACTTTTGGCTCATTCTTTGCTCCCTCTCTTTCATATAGTTTATAAATAAAGAAATTAATTGGTGATCTGTCACTCCTCTCTCCCGTTTTCATTGATCTAAATCCTAATATGAGCTGGTACTAAATAGATTTATATGAACACCAAGTATCTCGTATATTTTACGGTTTAAATTATTCAAATTTTATCGTACCTATAATGAAAATAATAAACATTTTTGAAGCAGCTATTAATGTTACTTCAGAATGCTATTAAACATTCGTTAATATATTAATAAAATTAATGTTACTTTTTTTAAAAAATAAAATTAATGCACGAATCAAGCGATCTCGATGATAAATGAATTATCGTTATTTCTTAGTGTCCCGAATTCAAGCATTATGAATATCAGGGTATGAGCATTCAATTTTAAATAATTGAGTCAAAAATAAATAAATAAAACTAGTGATTAATTAATATAATTTTAAAATGAAATGTCACTACCGTGTAAGTTAACATGTACAATTCAAAAACTTTATCCTTAATCAAAAGTTTGTTGTTTATTTAGTAAAATAATCTAATACTTGTTATGTCTTATAAAGATCCATTTGATTATAATTATGTTTTTTTATTTGGAATCTGCATAAAAAATATGGCTACCAGAATAATATATTACTGTTATAAAAGTTTTTTTAATAGAAAGGGAAGCTTTGAAACAAAATAAGTATTGTATAATGTCGGCAAAACCAAATTAAATATAATACAACATGCAATTATATATGGCTTAATGTAAATAGGTGATCAAACTATATTCAAAGTTAATTTTTTTGGTGCCAATTTTGTTTTTAAAAAAATAAGTGTCTATCGTTAAAAAATGTTAAGTGACATGTTTATATTTTTTTGAATTTTTTTTAAAATAAAATATTTTTTAAAAAATTTAAATGTGACACGTCACTAAGTGTTTTTTTTAACAAACGGCACTTAAAAGTGTAACGCATAAAAATTAAACACCTATTTTTCACAAAAATTTCTTTAGGCACCAAAAAATAACTTTGAATAATCTAGAAACTTATTTTTATATCAAGCCTTATATACTTGTGTAATTTAATAATATTAAAAAAAACACACTTTATATGTCACACTATCAAACTTTTGATTTATTTCCAAAAGAGTTATTCACATCATATAACTTCCTTGGGAGAAAAAAGACACCAACATCCGATATTAAAATGAACTAATGTTATTAACGAGTTGTTTCAAGTGGTGAGTAGCTTAATATTGTTTAAGTATGTCTCAAGTTTAAGTCTTTCTATATGTATAAAATCTTCAGTGGATGACTCACCTACCAAAACCAGGTGTGTTATCCAATCGGTCCGGATTAATCAAAATAAATCGGGAAAAAAAGGAGCTAATGTTGGAGAGGGTAAGATCTTCGGCCACAAAGGTGCGCATAATTATTAGTATGTTTTGGAGATCAACATAAGTCGCTTTAGGGCTTCTCAGATGCATTCATTTGGGCTTGAAATCCTAGACTTTGGATTTTCTCTCATCCAGCTAATTTCAAGGATTTCCTGTTTTTGATCATGACACACAGGTAGTGCCTATCCAATTTAGACTTGTTTTCTTCCCTACTGCTTTGAACCGTATACCTTTTAAATTCTACCTTAACACTTTTTTTTGTGTGTTCATTCCTAGAATAGAGATTTACTTCTTCAAACGCATCAAAGGCCCTCTCTAACTTTTGAGCATCAAATATGTTCAAGTCCATCGACTGCACACATCCAAAAGGCAACATTCCTTATAACTTCAATTTTTAAAGGGGTTAAGTTTAATATTTCACCTATTCGTAGTCCATGGTCTTTGTCTTCGCTCCTCATTATCTCTTTAATTATTTTAAAGGGATTAATACTTCAAATTTTGTAAATTAGAGGGATGAAATTTAAAATCTGACCAATTTTATATATAGATTTAATGGTATATTTCACTCTTAGAATAAATTCAAATCAATAAGTTTATCCCTAAAGTAGATTTAAATCAACAAATTAATCCTTAAAATATAAAAATCCTAAGTAATTTTTATCTTTAAAATGGAGAGTCAAAAATACCACCACATCAACGAAAATCATATATCAGAGTTCACCTGACATGACAAGGGACGATAACAGATGTGTGACGACTACATATGTAAAAAAAATAACAGCTCGTTAGTCACTAACAGTCAAAGAGAAGAATTGATAAAATTGGATCACTTTAAGGACATAATTGAAATAATTAAAAACTATGAAGAAAATTGTTAATTTGGGTTTATTTAGGGAGAAAAATGTATAATTAAAACCATATTTTTTTTATATTTTAGTATACACTATCCTATGTCCATGTAATTCTGTATACACTACTCACATCCCAACAAACCCGATAATAGAGAATAAAAGGTTAAATTAGGGTTTGTTGTCAAGGATAAAGCAAGAACGAGGTTATTTGTACTATTTTAGGGTACTAATTCTAGGTGTAGATCCGCCGAATTTGAGCTGGATTATCCAATATGAAAATAAATACAAATACAAATATTAATTAAACGAATTACAGGGTGATTAAAGAGGAGCCTTCATCAGTGGTTAAAACAAAGAGATGAGAGCAGAGAAGGGCCTTCGTCGGTCAAATAATTCGAGTAGAAAAAAGTTTTAAAAAATTACAGGTATTTGAGAATTTAAAATATAAATATTTGTTAAAATAAATGTAAAATTAATCTTAAAAATGAATAAATTTTATAAAATAATAAAAATAAGAGGAGCCTTCATCAGTGGTTAAAAACAAAGAGAGAGAGCAGAGAGGGCCTTCGTCGGTCAAATAATTCGAGTAGAAAAAAGTTTTAAAAAATTACAGGTATTTGAGAATTTAAAATAAATAATTTGTTAAAAAAATGTAAAATTATCTAAAAATGAATAAATTTTATAAAATATAATAAAAAATTAAAAACATCATAATAAATTATTTAAACCTTAAAATAATGGTCAAACACTACATTTTCCAACAATATTTCTAGTGGAGAAGGCTTTTTGTATTTTGTTTTCATAGAAAGAGACAAATGGAACGACCCCCAACGCATAAAAACAGTGATCCATTGGATTTAGGTATAAAGGCGACGTGTTTTCTGGGTTGGAAGTGTTCTTGCCCAAAGTTTTGTTTGTACAGCGTGAAAAGAAAGCACATAAGATTTACGAACTATTTAAAACTTGACAGGATTATTATCACGCCCCAAAGGGCAAGGCTGCAGTGGTTTGCAGCTCACTAGAAACAGTCTCCACCAACTTTGGATTCATTTGTTGTTCATAGGGTGTGGGTTCCCCAGCCTTAACCATCATTATTAGTCTCTGATCAACCAAAGGCAAAGTAAGTGAGGGACTATAGTGTAATTGTGAAAACGTTTTTCTCAACTCTCGGAAGATACTTGTTCCTGTCCCAATTTGTGTCTGACGACAAAATTGACCAATCTTTTAATTTAGCAACAGTCTGTCCGGCAAAATTATTAATGTTTAATAATCAAGTAAATCATACTTCCAATCCTCTTTTTCAACAAAGGTATGATTGATTTTGTTTGCTTTAGGGTCCCACTGAAGGACCTTAACGGATAGAGAGTTCATTGACCTGCCCAAGCTGCCATTAATTATGTCACTAAAACAATTCAACCGCATCCAAAAATAGTAATAAATGGATCACCGAACAAATCCCCCCCCCCTGGAACCTTTATACAATCCCACCCCTCTTCATTTTCCTCTAGTTTTGTTCACCATCTTAGATTTTTTTATTTGTAAATAGATCGTACAAACAGAACCTTTTTCTTCAAACTAGAGCTCATACTTTTCTACAACCTCATTCTCCTAATATTTAAGCTTATGATGTATTTTTTTAATAAATCTAAATTATAATGTTTTATATTTAATTATATCAATTTAATAATCGAGCTCTTCCATTGCATCAATC